AAAATAAAGATTTTATTTTTAAGCAATCTCTACACCCAATGTGGGGCTTGAACCTGCAACCTGAGATCAAGAGTCGCACTCTCCGTGGACTGAGCCAGCCCCGTGCCCCTGGAGTCACTGTCTTTCAGCCTGAGGACTTCTTTTATTAATTTACCAGGCAGATGAGCAGGCAATCAATTTCTCCGTCTGTTTATCAGGGAATATTTTTATTTTACCTTCATATGTGAAGGATATAGTTTTGCTGGATACAGAATTCTTGGCTGGTGGTTTGTTTCTTTCTGCACTTTGAAAATATTCCATACCATTGTTTCAAATACGAAGTCAGCAGTTAATTATATTGATGCTTCTCTGTATGTGATGAATCCTTTTTCTCTTGAGGTTTTCAAGGTTTTTATCTCACTGTTTGACTTTGAGCTGTTTTTCTGGATATGAATGTCTTTGTATTTACCATGCTTAGGGCTTGGGGAGCTTCTTAGCTGTGTAGGTGAATTTTTTTCATCAAATGTGGGGAGTTTTCAGCCATTGTTTCTTTAAATTGTTCTTCTGCCCTTTTCTCTCCTCTCCTTCCAAAACTCTCGGTGCACACATGTCCGTATGCTTGATGCTGTCCCAAAGATTTTGGTATGGCGGGAAGGTCCTTAGGCATTGAGCTGGGCAGGAGGATGGCAGGAGCCCCAGCCAAAATGCCACAGATTCCCTCTTTTCTCATCTGATGTGCAGCGGCTTTTCAAGCATAGATGACTCTCAGATTGTCGTATGCCCTTGGTCAATGGCCAGAGTGCCGAAATGGTTGTTTTGTAAATCTTGTGCTTCGGGGGAGAGGATCTGCCGGTCTCCTCATTTGATCATAGTCAAAAGTCCCACCCCTTCCTATTGTTAAATTGACCATCAAAAAGCATTTATTGACTTAAACCCCAAAGGCATCAATTTTCTCATTAAATGCCTCTCACTTGAAGTGGAATTGGAATTTTATTTAAAAGTTTCAAAAAGTCACTTTGTCTAGGGGAGTAAACAGCTGGGTCCCCAACTGTTGGGTTCTGGTTAGCAGCATGAGGTTCATTGTAGCACGAATTCCATGGGAATCAAGCATTTGGGATAATGAGCTGTGGTTTTAGATTAGATCAGCAGGAACGTTGTCTGATGTATAGCAGGTACTCCACAGTATTTGAATGAAAGGGCTCCTTGGCAAGCTCTATTTTAAGGAAAAAAAAAAAACTTACAGAACAATATATTAATGCGATCCCATAACAACATAAAATTTTCCTCCTCCCCCCACCAAAAAAGTTCCTACCTCCCTGATCGTACTCAGGTGTATATTTGTAATGCATAGGAGAAGGGAGAGAGAGAGAGGGAGAGGAAGAAAGTGTAAGCGAGCGAGAGAGCGAGCAAACTGTAAACCATGGATCTCTCTAGAGACGAGCAGGTAGGACCCCCACCTTCAGCTACGTAGGCTGTGCCCAGGAGATAGGGAATCTCGGGGTGTGTCCACCCAAAGGTGGTGACTTTTGTAGATTCCCACAGAGGCATAGAGGGCATTCCTGGGGTGGGACTGGGGGCCGTGTATTTGTATCTCTGTTGTGTGAAGGAACTCTGTTGTTTCCCAAGAGTAAATTTAAACAGATCGCTTTGGGGAAACGGGGAATGGATTCAACTGTTTCTCTTGTTTTTACTCTGCAGTGACGTGAGCTCGCGGGCTGGTTACCCCGCTCAGGTTTACAAAACTGCCAGCACAGAGACTCCTCGACCCTCACAGCTGGCGCAGTCCAGCCCCTTCCAGCTCTCCGCCTCTGTCCCCAAGTCCTTCTTCTCCAAGCAGCCCGTACACAGTAAGCACCCGGCGGGATGGAAGAGGACAGATGAGCCCCCGCCACGGCCGCTCCCCTTCACCGACCCGAAGAAGTAAGTGCTCAGACCCCCAGCGAGGTGCTGCAGGAACCGAGCCAGGCGTCTCTGGGCACGGGGCAGGGTTGGTGACCCCTCACTGGCTTATTTGGCAGGGTGCCGTGGGTACAGCTGTGGACAGAACACCCTTAGTTGGGGGGTCAGAGCGTCCCTTGGCGGCCTGAGGGGCACAGCTTCCAAGGAGCTGCCGTGCCGGAGATGGGGTTTGGGGGAGGCGGAGCAGGATGGAGGCCGAGGAGGAGGGGGGCTGGCTTCAGGATGGATATGCTTAAACGGGAGCAGCCGGGGTTGGCTGGCAGACCGAATGTGGGCTGCGGGGAAGGGTGAGGTTGAAGAACACCCCAGGTCCCGTAACCGGAAGGGCAGACTGGCCTTGAGCTGAGATGGGGACTGAGCGAGGAGCAGGCTTGGTTGGGGAAGAGCCCCCGAGCTCAGTCCCGGGTGAGTTGCGTTCACGAGGCACAGAAGCCATGAAGGAGGCGGTTGGGTCCGGAGTCTGGAGCTGAGCGGAGAGGGTCAGGCTAGAGAGGGCAGTTGGGGTGTTGTCAGCACAGAGGCACGAGGCTGGAGGCACACCCAAGGCCAGGAGTGTGGGTAGAGAGGAGGGGGAGGTGCAGGACGGGACCAGAGAGCCCTCAGTGTCCAGAGAGTATAAGGAGGGGCCCAGGCGAGCGTGTGTCCCGGGAGCCCAAACTTGATGGGCTGTGAGCCTCATGGAGGTCCCTCAAGGGTGCAGGAGAGAAGGGGAGGGCAGAATTGGAGGGAAACTGTGTGCTCCGCTCGTTTGAGTGCGGAGAGGCGAAAGAGAGGAGAGGAATATGCATTAGGGAAGGATTTCTGTTTCACGTTAGGAGAATATGGTATCTTGTATTTACTGAGTACTCACTGTATACCAGTCTCGGTTCTTAGCTCCTGTAGATGTGAATCAATTCCCTGAATCCTCACAACAGGTCCGTGAGGTGGACCTGTTACTCACCCCATTTTACAGATAAGGCACAGCAGCCGGTAAGGGATAGAGCTGGTTCCGGGGGAGGCGGATTCTGCCCTCCTCCATCCGGTTCTCTGTAACGTCTTTCATGACCTGGATGGGCCCTTCAAATGTAGGGGTGACAGAGCTCAGAAGGAGAAAGGTGTCAGGAGAGAGAAACTGGTCCCTGCAGATGTCGGCAGGCGAGCCTGGGGAGCTCACACCAAGAATCCAGTTCACAAACATCACTGGCAGCCCCAGGCTCTGAGCCTCTGCTCCTGATCGGAACCTCCAGCGGCTTCCCCCACTCCGGGGATGGATGATCCAAGCACACCGATGGTACCAGGTGTTCGTGTGGCTTGTGCTATGCCCACACTCCTGCCCAGACCCTGCACAATCGGCCTCCTCTCCCCCTGCCCTCCCCTCCTCCCGCGTTGCCCCTCGCTCTCTCTACTACACCGGCCTCCGCTTTCCTCCTGTTTGCCAAGGCCAGGCCAAGCTCGGGGCCAATGTAGGGGTTCTCTAATGGCCTGAGTGTTCTTCTCCCAGATTTGCAGCCATCTCAGGGCAGGGGCTTGGTCCGATGCCACCTCCTCAGATGGGCCTTCCCAGCTGTATGTACCCCCGCCGTCACCCTGTCACTTTCTCTGTTCCCCTGAAAGCAGGCACCGCTGTCTTAGTCACAAGACACCTGCAGGCTGCCTGGCGTTCTGGGTGCTCCTTCGGTGAACGCATGAGTCACGCATCTCGTTTTGATCTCGCTGCCATACAACCCCGTGAGATCTGCAAGGCCCCCACTTTTTAGGGTAGCCAGAGGGGCAAGCCCTGCAGGCCCCGTTAGGCTCTTCCACGTGGCAGCTGACCTGGCCGTCCTTCCCCCGGGTGCGCGCTAGACCCAGTGTGTCACAGTTCTGGAGGTCAGACTTCTGAGATCATGGTGTTGGTGGGGTTGGTTCCTTTTGAGGGCTGTGAAGAGGGATCTGTTCTGGCCACTCTCCCAGCGGCTGGTGATTCCTTGGCCTGTAGATGCATCTGCCCATTCTCTGCCTTCATCTTCACACGGCATCCTCCCTACATGTGTGTCTCTGTGTTGACATCTCCACTTTTTATAAGGAAACCAGTCAGTGGATTCGGGTCCATCCTAATGGCCTCAGTTTGCTTTGGTTACCTCTGTAAAGACCCTATTTCCAAATAAGGTCACACTCAGATACTTGGGGTTCGAACTTCAACATGTTTTTGGAAGGGACCCATAACACCACCTCTCAGGTCTTAACACAGACATGCCATCGTCCTTGGGGAAGCTCATTCAAGCCCACACTGGGCTCACCTTCCACTGACTGCATGCTTCTTCCCTGCCCCGGCACCTGTCCCAGGGCACATCAGATCCTTTTCCTAGCGGCTTGCCTCCTCTGTCCCCCACAGTGAACTGAGAATTCTGGGGGAGCAGAGATACTGTGAGCCCCACCCAGGGCCCAGTACATAGTACGTGCTCAGAAAATATGCCTGGACATATAATAACCCTAAACAAACAAAAAACCCCTTTTCCCCATGATAAGAATTCAAACAAGACTTTTTATAGGTGTGTATGTATGTTTGTTTTAAAGATTTTATTTATTTGAGAGAGGAGCATGAGCAGGGGGAGGGGCAGGGGGAGAAGCAGACTCTCCGCTGAGCAGGGACACCCCCCCACACACACACACACACAGGGCTCAATCCCAGGACCCCAGGAACATGACCTCAGCCAAAGGCAGCCACTTAACTGCCTGAGCCATCAAGGCACTCCTGGATGTGTATGTTTGTATAAACATGTAAACTAAATATATAAAATATATCAATATATAAATATAATAAAATATTTAGGACCACACATAAAATAGTTTCATGGCTGCTTATAATATTCAATAATTTAGTTATAGATACGTTTTTTTAAAGATTGTATTTTTAAGTAATATCTGCTCCCGACATGGGGCTCGAACTCACAGCCCCAAGATCAAGAATCACTGAGTCAGCCAGGCGCCCCATATAGATACATTTTTTAAAGCACATGTGGAAGATAATATGTTAATTTAGAATTGCTTTTGTCCACATACTCCCATTTCATAAAGCTGTTTTATTCAGACTCTCTATGAGCATTTTGGAGATAGTGTCTTTTTCATTGTTAAAAGATCCTTCTGAGTCACCTAACCTAGTTTTCCAAAAACATCATCTTCAAGCTAAATTATTTGAGGTTAAACATACTTTTTTTTTTTTCCGTATATGAAGCTGTCACTGAAATTTTATCCCAAGGCACAGGAGCTCATTTGCATAACTTATTTACCTACGTATATTAATCCCTACTTTACCAAGTCCTGTTATAAGCCCTTCACCTACATTGACTCATTTAATCCTCGCTATAGAACAAGGAGATGCAAGTACTTTGCCTCCCATTTTTCAGATAAGAAAAATTGAGGTACAGGGGCGCCTGAGTGGCTCAGTCGGTTAAGCGTCTGCCTTCGGCTCAGGTCATGATCTCAGGGTCCTGGGATCGAGCCCCGCATCGTGCTCCCTGCTCAGCGGGAAGCCTGCTTCTCCCTCTCCCACTCCCCCTGCTTGTGTTCCCTCTCTCGCTGTGTCTCTGTCAAATAAATAAATAAATAAAATCTTTAAAAAAGAAAAGAAAAATTGAGGTACAGAATGGTTATGTCACTTTCCCAGATTCACTTGGTTAGTTAAGGTTCATCAGTGCAAATATTGTGCTTGTTGGTTTTGTGATTTGTCCCCCAGGGTCACCACATATTATGACCTTATTCCCCACCCCCACCAGGAGTAATTCCCAAATCTGTCTACTTTCTTTGCTTCCCTTGTCATTGATACCAGTCAGGGACGTCTAACACATCCCACGGAGAAATGCTAATGGCCTCATCCAGCACAGTGGTGCTCCCTTTCCGCCAGACTGCTTGGCTGGGGCTATACAGACCTGGCCCCAGTGATCCTCCAGCAACCCCATAGAGGGATCCTGTTCTTACCCCCATTTCCAGATGAGGAAACTGAGGCACAGTTAGAAGCACATAGCCAGGTCCACAGCCAAAAGTGGCAGAGCTAGGATTCGTATCCAGCAAGGTAACTAACAGCATCTCATCATATGAAAGACCCAAGAAGGACTCCTGTCCAGGGCGGTGACTCCTATTTCCTGAGGACTGATTTCTTGGAGGGGACAGTCTCCTCTGTATTGGGGCACATGCTCTAGTTGGCCAAACGACAGTAAGCTAGTGAAGAACACAGAATCTGTGCTCTGTCTCCCACCCCCAGACCTTCTGCTGCAGGCCCCTGGTCAACACTTGGGGAGGGACAGGCCAGCACCTCTGCCTCAGGGGACGGCCAGACAGCCCCATTTTGGCCACTTTGTCCCAGGACTCATTAATTCATTGGCCTGCCTTCTTCCAGCCATTAGAGGGCAGAACAGCGTGGGGGTCAGGATGGAGATCCATTGGCTGCTTACCCCCACCTTAGCCCCTCAACTTCCCTGTCTTTAACCTGGAATGACAGCCATCCCTAGCTCCAGGGTTGTGAGGATTTAGTGAGTTAATCCATTCGAGGCCCCAGCACCACCTTTGAGCTGCCAGGGGCTTAGCAGGTGAGGGTGTGACTGGGCCCACAGGTTTCCCTTCTGACAGGAGGGGCCAGGCTGGAGCCCGGCCGGTTGGGAGGTGGAGCAGGCAGCCCTCAGCCCTCCTGGGCACCGCCTCCTCAACGGGCCAGTCTCGGCCGGGCTGCAGGGCTGGAGATGCCCCTAATGGGCTAGTGGTCACTGGGCCACCCTGAGAAGCCTCCTTCACAAGGTAGGCACAGCCAAGAACAGGCCACCGCTCTTCCAGATAATGGCCCTACACTTCTCTCTGAGTGTTAAACCAGTCAGCCACACAACGTAGGGTTGTTGTGAGGTACACGTGCTTAGGCCCCACTGGCCCCTGGCCCCGCAGACTCCGGGCCCAGCAGGGAAGAAGCAGAGCCTCCTCCAGGAATGGTCTCTGTTGCCTTTAAGTGTGGAGTGGTGGATGGGAGGGCCAGCCCCCGGGTCACACCTGAGGACCCAGCCCCCCCAAGCGTCCTCCTGCAGCGCCACCGAGGGGGTGAAGGGAAATCCCGTGTGTGAAGGCCACCGGGGCCAGGGAGCGCGTGAGCACAGAGGTGACGTGAGGATTTCAGCGAGTCGTAGGGAAACACCCGGTCACTGTCGGCTGGGCTGACAGGCACTGGTGTCTCGTGGTTGGCACCTTCCATTCCAGCTCCTTCCTCAGATTTAGGTCCAGCTCCGTGCAGCCACGGAAGGAGCGGCGGGGAGAGGCCTCTCCCCAGCATCCCCACCCCATAACAGGGCAGCCCCCCTCCCCAACGGGCCTCTCTCCCAGCCATCCCTCCAGGAATATCCGCCTGCCACCTGAGGTGCAGCCCTGCTCTGTGTCCTCACCAGCCACGTTGGCACAGCCCCCGGCCCAGAGAGGCCGACAGTGGTGCTAATTGGCTTAATTAACTTGGCCCTGAGGGAGCTGCCCCAGTTGGAGGCCAGAGCCCAGAGTCAGCTGGGGACAGGCCCAGCCAAGTCAGAGCCATCGGTCACCGTCCATCTCAGGCCCTGCTGTCACAGGAAGAAGGAGTCGCTGTTGTCTGGGGGGACCGTACTGCAGCGCTGCCTTTGTAAGTTGTCTGCCCTTGTTTTCTGCTGTAAGTGGTGTCATTCCACAACACGGCCAAGTCCAAGTTCAGGCAACGCGAGCAAATCAGAGGTGATGTCTGGTGCTGTCGGGCAGACCCCGGAGAGAAGGCACATCTTTCCGGTGTGCTCTTCGTTTGTCTCGTGAAAGGTAAACCCTGGCCAGGATAAAAACCGAACTAGTACCAGAGGGTTCACGGCACAAACCCAGCCTCTGTCCCTTCCCGGCCCCCAGCCGTCCAGCACCCCCCTCCCCAAGCACAGCCATGGCCTTCGTTTCTTCCGCGTCCATCCCAAAGTGTTCCAACCGAGACGAGCCCATGGGACCCCACGTGCTTCCTCCCTCACGCCCCCTTCCGTTGGCCAGTGTGGCTCCCCGTCTCTGCACATCTGCCTTTTTCACTTGCTCTTTCCTCTTCGTATCTCGGGGACAGTTACCATATTAGCACAGAGAAGGTGATCTCATCCTTTTGAACCGGCAGAGAGCAGTCTCTTTTGTCCTCCGGGTCATTAGGTTTTCACAATCATGGGGACCCGAGATCTTGAGAAAAAGGAAACAGGTCGGAATGTACAAGCGCAGTCTGGTTGGTTTTGTTACCCCGGAGTTAATGCCCTTTTAAATGATTGCTTAGAATTTGCCATTTAGAAACTACATCGGGAAATTCTTCCAGAAGAAAAAAATAAGAGCAAAAATGATTGATTTGACGCCCCAAACTGAATTCCATCATACTCTATTCCCTTTAGACACAGCCTGGTGGCGCAGTGAGAGAGTCAGGCCTGCCGCGGAGATGTGTGCGGGCTTGGGGGTTGGGGCAGGACCTTGTACAGGATGTCTCCTGGCGAGCCAGCCTCCCACCGCAGAATCTCGAATGCCCCATCCGACTCCCAGAGGTCCTGGGAGCTGGGAAGGCAATGTTAGCACATGAACACAAAATTAAACAGAACAGGGAAGAAATACTTGTGTTCTTTTGGCTTAACTTTTTAAAATATCTCTGTGCTTTTTCCTGCTTTATAAAAGTCATTGACACTTCTTAGAAAAGGAAGGAAGAGGGGCGCCTGGCTGGCTCAGTCAGAGGAGCATGCGACTCCTGATCTCAGGGTCGTGAGTTCGAGTCCCACATTGGGTGTAGAGATTACTTAAGTTTTTTTAAAAAAAAGGAAGAGAGGAAGGTTGAAAGGAAGGAGGTAAGTAGGGAAGTGGGTTGGTGGGTTGGTTGGTTGGTTAGAAGGAAGGTTGGCTCCGTGTGATTCGCGTTGAACAGCTTCTTCTGAGTGCTTGCAATGTGGCAGGCCTTGTTCCCAACACAGAACAGAAGGCTGCAGATGAGGTGAGAGTGGGACCACAAACACACAAGCGCCTGTGACAAACTGCCAGGAGATGAGCACAGTGAAGCAGCGCACAGGATTGGGTGATGGAGCACACCCGGGCTGGGAGGGGACACTAGAAGCTTGAGTGGTCAGGCAAGGCCTCCCAGAGGAGGCAACATTTGAGATAAGCTGGATAGATGAGAAGCTGCTATTCATGGGGAATGCTGGGGAGGGCAACTCCAGGCTGCCAGAAGAGCCAGTGCAAAGGCCCTGGGGCAGGACCGTGCCTGGCATGCTAAAGGAACATTGGGAGGCCTGTGTGGGAGGAGAGAAGGGCAGAGGCAGGGCGGGGCAGATTGTCAAGGATTTCACAGGCTGTGGTGAGGCACATTTTTGGAAAGCGAATCCCCCAACGTACCCTTCCTTTGGAGCTGAGAGTTTGGTAAATTTTAATACATCAAACTAGGCTATGTGTAAGCTTTGTTTTCTAAAAATGATTTCACAACTGTACATACCACTTCTTTATTCCTGTGACATACCGGGGAGAACCTCTTTCTGTGTTAGGTGAACCAGCTCCACTTCTCTTTAATAGCTAGATGGCATGATTCCGTGGGGCCTCGCTCTTCCCCTGCTGGCCAATTCTGTGTTTGCTTCACGGACAGGACCCTATTAAGTGTCCCCATATACTTGGCACACGTAGGTTCACACGGCCCTTTCTGAAGGACACATGCCCAGAAGCAGATAGAGTCCCTCGGGCCGAGAGCATGCACGTTTGAAAGTGTTCCGCGGGAGGGCGCCTGGGTGGCTCAGTTGGTTAAGCGACTGCCTTCAGCTCAGGTCATGATCCTGGAGTCCCTGGATCGAGTCCCGCATCGGGCTCCCTGCTCGGCAGGGAGTCTGCTTCTCCCTCTGACCCTCCCCCCTCTCATGTGCTCTCTCTCATTCTCTCTCTCTCAAATAAATAAATAAAATCTTTAAAAAAAAAAAGTGTTCCGCGGGTGGCTTTGTGCCCCTCCCAGAGGGCCAGCCTCATAAACAGTGTCCCTTTCTTGCCAGACGGGCTGAAGTCCCGGCCTGCTGCCTCTTCAGGGAAGGTGGGCACAGCATGGGACATGCCCTGCACTGAGTCACAGGCTCCACCCCCCCTCCTTGCAGGGGATTCTGGAAAACTGTGAAATCCCTTTGGAAGGGGGAGGGCTGAGCCCCCTTCCAGCTCCCAGGGGAGGAACCATGTACTCATTGGGGTGTATGCTCTTCCTCTGTTTCACTGTGTATTTCTCTCTTTTGGCTCTAAAGCTTTTCATTTGCCAAAGAACACACTTCAGAGAGCACTGTAATGGAGCCAGAATTACCCTAGACCTGGAATTCTAATTTGGGGTGGAATACGACCTGACAGGGAAAAATTTGCCACCCTCTCTTCCTTCTTTTGTTAAAACCCCAAGGTGGCAGCTGAGAAAATGAGAAAAAATGCAAACTTCAAAACATTCAGGAGCCCTAGACATCGTCTTTCTTCCTGGGTCCAAAGACTTTTTCTTTCTTGAGTTAACAAAATGACAAATTCCAGGTGTCACCTTTTTTTTAAACTAGTTTTTTAAATCATCATTATTGTTCTGGCACTTAATTATGGTAAAATAAATTGAGACAGTTCAGAAGGGTATCAGATGAAAAGTGACAGTCCCATTTTTCCAACTCCTAAAAAGATTCCTGACCTCCCAGGGGGTCATGTACCCACTGTTCATAATTTCCCCAGAACTTTTTCTCTGCACTTAAAAGAGTATTACTAAACCAAATCTAGTTATGCTCCCCACACACTATACATCTTTTTGTTTTAAGATTTTATTTATTTATTATTTATTGGGGGGGTGGGGGTAGAGGCAGAGGGAGAGAGAGAATCTCAAGCTTGATTCCGCGCTGAGTGTGGAGCCTGATGCGGGGCTCGATCTCACTACCCTGAGATCATGACCTGAGCCGAAGTTAGGAGTGGGACACTTAACCGACTGAGCCACCCAGGTGCCCCCCCATACATCATTTTTATGCCGTGTCTGTGATATAAACATGGCAGTCAAGTTCGGAGGTGACACCTGTGGGCTCTGCGGCCTGGTGGCCTCAGCTGGAATCCTGACTCCTCCACTCACACAGCCTGTGTGACATTGGACGTCTGTTGCATAGTTCCTTGTTAATTGTGGGTCTCTGTGACTGGAGGTCAGCTGCATGTTCTCTGCTCTGTGTCCCCCGCCTGGAACAGGCACAGCCCAGGGCAGGTTCCCAGGAAATCTTGTGGGATGAATGAATGGAGAGAATAAATTTGATCCCTCTTCCGGCTCACCTCCAGCAGGTGAACGGGAGAAGGCCGCAGTCCCTTCCCCCGAAGGCAGCCAGCCTTCTTGGGTCAGGACCACTTTGAGAAGCAGGGTGAGCCTCCGCAAGGCCACTCTGACCCTCATCCCCTCATTCCAGGCAGGTGGACACCAATACAAAAAACGTCTTCGGGCAGCCACGGTTGAGGGCATCCCTCCGAGACCTCCGCTCCCCACGGAAGAACTACAAATCCACCATTGAGGACGACCTGAAGAAACTCATCATCATGGACAACCTGGCGCCCGAACAGGAGAGAGATGCGGGGGTATGTAGAAGCTGCCCCCCACCACACACGCACACACACACAGAATCAGGTGGGCCAGGTGGTCGTGGGAGGGCGAGGGAGGAGTACAGAGCTCCCTGTGCTCACTCCGGCCTCCTCCTGCCCGTGGCCTGCACCTGCAGCAACGGCCAGCCCCACTTGTATGTAGGTGTATGTGGCTTCATAGCCAGAAGTCAGGTCGTCACATTAGTCAGGGGCCAAATCACAGTATAAGCCAGCCTCAGCAGGCAGGTAGGGGATTCCTTCCGCACTAGGGTAGCTCACGTGACTGGAAAGGGATGCTCTTACCGGCTCTCGTGTCCCTCTCCTGGAGCCCAGGGTGGAAGCAGCCTCCACCCACCCAAACTGCGTGGACCAAGAGTGGGGGCAGGGTTCCCAGGGGAAATTCAGGCTCTTGTTACCCAAAGGCAGGGGAACCATCAGGCTCCCTTAGTCCCTCGACACTGTCTGCTTTTCTCCATTCTTGTCCCCACCTACTTCTGGTTATTTGCACTCTTGTGGGACCCAGCTGTCCCCAGTGGTCCCCACCAATGACTGGATCCCATAAGTCCAGCTCCGGTCACACCGCCTTCCCTAACCTTCCCTGGAGCAGGAGGGTGGCGATGGCCTCTGGAGGGCCAGAACCAGGTGGGGAGGGAGGAGGGGAAGAGGCATCCCCAGGGGAAATTTGAGGTGCTTTGAGCAGAAAGGGGCAGAAACAGATGCTGGGTGGGTAAGACGCACAGCTGTCCGAGACGGGAAGACGCCTGTGAGGACAGTGACCGGGAGCCAGGCCACGAAGGCGCCGCGTGACCGTCCGTGTCTCTCCAACAGTCACCGCAGAAGAGCCTGCAGCGGACACTGTCCGATGAGAGTCTGTGCAGTGGGCGGCGGGAGCCCAGCTTGGCCAACCCTGCCGGCCTGGAGCCGGGCCTGCCCAGCGACGTGCTCTTCACCAGCACCTGCGCCTTCCCCTCCAGCACGCTGCCCGCCCGCCGCCAGCACCCCCCCCCGCCCGGCGGCGGCAGTCCCACCACTGGCCCTGCCGCCAGCAGCGGCTTCCCGGAGAAGAAATGTGAGCACGGGCGCGCTGGGGCCAGCGGGGGGCTTCGCCAGGGCTGGGGGGCGGGCAGACAGACCAGACTGGAGGTCACCGGCGGTGGTGTCAGCCGAGGTGGGGAGCTGGGGCGCGTCGGAGCTTCTGGGGGGTACTGACGATGTCACCCACAAGAGCGGGGGATGGTTAGCCGAGCATCAGGGGGTCTCCTGGGGGCCACCTAGCTAGAAGTCTGGACTGCCCAAAGATGGGAGTCAGCTAGAGAAGGCTGCAGACAGGGGGGCCCCAAGGATCGGGCTTTCCCTTAGCTGCTCCCCCAGCCCCCTGCTCCAGCACCAAGCAGATGGTTTCGTGAATGTTTATTTACTTACCTGATTCTCCCCAAGTCTGCCAACGCTTGGAGGGAGAAGGTGTAAGGGTGTGACTCATCCGTTCTTTTATTCACCCAGCAGCTATTTACCCAGCATCCCCCACGAAGGGGGGCACAGTGCACACGGCCCCCATCAAAGCCCATGCACCGGCTGGGGTGGGTCCTGCCTTCAGTGCCCCCTCCAGTCCCGTATTCACAACCCCAAAGGCTCCAAAACTGAGAGGCGATGCAGAACTTTGGGCCAGGCTCATTGAGCAGCAAAACCCAACCCAGACGGCCACGTGGTGCGAGCGATCATCACTTCATTGCAGGTCACTGGCGTGACTACGGGGTGCTGCCCGGCCTTTCCGGGGGCCATTGCAATAGCACGTGCGCAGCACCCTCCAGTGCAGACAGATCTTGACTTCAGAGATGTGTCTACCCCAGGGGTTTTGGCTGAGCCTGTGTCCTGTATCACTGAGGTGGAGTCTCCCCAGAGCCTGCTCCCACTCCGTCCCCGGCTCAGCTCAAGGCGAACTTACCCCTCACCACATTACACTGAGACTCAGACGCATTAATACGTGGAAGACACTTAGCACAATCCCTGATCTATGCAGGAAGCGCTGAAAAGCACTAGCCGTTTATTATTTTGTTGGTATTCTTCCGTCTGGAGCAAGCATTTTAATCCCACCGTGAGTCAGGCTTGCACCTCGGGACTGGCGAGCAGGGTTAGGACAGAGTATTAACAGGGACCTTCTAAACCCCAAAGCCTGGCGGGGCTGGGCGTCGAGCAGGGTCAGCGTCAGACCACGCAGTTCAGAGCCAAGTGCCACTGCCAGCGAGTGTGAGCGCGAGCCAGGCGTCTCACTCTGAGCCTCGGTTTCCCCCTCCACAACACGGGGGAGCATCACAACACCTCCCTCCCGGCTACGGGGTGATGGTCCCGTAGCGCACCCAGCATGGTCGGGCCCTGCCTTTCCTGCCTGAGTCACCTCCTGACCTCTCTGTCCCCTCCCCTTTGGCAGCTGGGAGGCGGCAGCAAGCTGAGGCCCCACATGCAGCTGCTGTCGCTGTCACTCCCAACACCCGGAGACTTTAGGGGCCTCTTTCTCTGCCCCATCTCCCCACGGCGACCCTGCCGCCACCAGACACTGGCCACACACTGACGACCCGGATCTCTATCTGCGGCCTGGGCTTGCCTCCTCTGCTCCACACCTCCAGGAATGAACTTGTGGCCCACCCCCGGCCTCCCCATCTCTGAAGTCACCCTGCACCCTTCTCTCTGGCCCACGCTCACCTCCCCTCTTCTGGAAGTACTTTTGGTTGCATGTAAAAAATCATTCCAGGACCTGCTACTTGTTCCCGTCCCCCACCCCCACCCTGCCCCAGCCTCACCCAGGCCGGTCCACTCTCCCCGGCAGCCTCCTCACCACCTCCCTGCTCTCCACCCTCACAAGGTCCGGCCTCCACACGCAGCCAGGGGGAGCCTTTGGCTCCATCCCACTCACAGTAAAAGACAGAGTCCTCCTGACCTACGAGGCCCCACACGGTCCAGCCGTGTCACCTGTGACTGTGCGTCCCACTGCTCTGTCCCTCTCATCCCGTCCCCACCCACATAAACACCTGACACACCCACCCCCTTACCTGCCAGCATTTGGCATCTTCTTTTTTATTTATTTATTTATTTATTTTTTATTCTTTTTTTTTTTTAAAGATTTTATTTATTTATTTGAGAGAGAGAATGAGAGAGAGAGAGAGCACACGAGAGGGGGGAGGGTCAGAGGGAGAAGCAGACTCCCCGCTGAGCAGGGAGCCCGATGCGGGACTCGATCCCGGGACTCCAGGATCATGACCTGAGCCGAAGGCAGTCGCTTAACCAACTGAGACACCCAGGCACCCTTATTTTTTATTCTTATGTTAATCCCCATACATTACATCATTAGTTTTAGATGAAGTGTTCCATGATTCATTGTTTGTGCATAACACCCAGTGCTCCATGCAGAATGTGCCCTCCTCAACACCCACCACCAGGCTAACCCATCCTCCCACCCCCCTCCCCTCTAGAACCCTCGGTTTGTTTTTCAGAGTCCATCGTCTCTCATGGTTCGTCTACCCCTCCGATTTCCCCCGCTTCATTCTTCCCCTCCCGCTACCTTCTTCTTCTTCTTTTTTTTTTTTCTTAACATATATTGCATTATTTGTTTCAGAGGTACAGATCTGAGATTCAACAGTCTTGCACAATTCACAGCGCTTACCAGAGCACATACCCTCCCCAGTGTCTATCACCCAGTCACCCCATCCCTCCCACCCCACCCCCCACTCCAGCAACCCTCAGTTTGTTTCCTACAATTAAGAATTCCTCATATCAGTGAGATCATATGATACATGTCTTTCTCTGTTTGACTTATTTCGCTCAACATAATACCCTCCAGTTCCATCCACGTCGTTGCAGCATTTGGCATCTTCTGATGATGGTAACGTGTTTACTCAATCATATGTGCTATTGTAACAATTATGTAGCATTATAGAGCTACCCAGAAAGTAAAACAGAATGGATGAATGTCTTTGTTTCCTTCACGTTGTCATCCTCCCCCCATCTCCCCTCTCCGCTCTTCCTACCCAGCCACCATCTCTGCCTCAGAGCTCTCGCTGGCGGACGGGCGGGACCGGCCGCTGCGGCGCCTTGACCCCGGGATGATGCCCCTGCCTGACACGGCTGCTGGCCTTGAGTGGTCCAGCCTGGTGAATGCAGCCAAGGCCTATGAAGGTAGGCACCTTCCACCCAACCTGGTCCGATCCCTCCCCTGCTGCTCTGTCCTAGAAGGATCAATGGAGGGTCTTGGGGCTCTGAAGTGGGGCACACGCAGGATCCGGAATTAGGGGGAGCAGGGTTCACATCCTGCCCTGTCTCTTGCTCACTGTGCAGTCCTGGGCAAGTGTATTTGCCTGTCTGATCTGCAGAACAGGAACGTGCCTGGGGCTGCAGTGAGGATTACATGAAAGGCCACCGTGTGTAAAACACGTCAGACACAGAACGAGCCCTCAACAGATGGCACCTTACATCACATCACAGGGCAAACTTGTAATCATCCAAACTGTGTTTAGATTTGCTTTGGCTGCAAGCGGCAGGAAACCCAAATTAACAATGACTTAAGCCTGTTTTATGCAGGTGAAAATTCCTGGGGTGGGGGGTGTCTAGGGCTGGGCAGCAGTTCCATAAATGCATTAGGGGGTACAGGCTCCTTGCACCCTCTGCTCTGCCATTTCCAGGGGGCCTCACCCTCACGGTCCAAGATGGCTGCTAGAGCGCAGGCCACCGTGTTCAGCTCCGAGCAGCAGGAGAGAGGACACAGCCCCAAGCCTGACACTCCCCCTACGCATACTTGCCGTGGGCGAGAGCATTGCACAGAGCCGTACCTCATGGCTCCAGGGCAGGCTGAGAAATGAGGCCCTATGCCCAACGAACGTTTGGGATTTGTTCTTACGGAAAAAGGGAAAACATGATGAGGGACAGCTAGCACTTTGCCATTTCCTTCCCGTGTGACCTTGGGCAAGCAGCTTGATCTTTCTAAGCATCAGTTCCTCATCTGTACAGTGGGACCCGTGGTGATTCCTGACCAACCCGAACATATTCTTCTGGCTCATTTTTCCATCTTTGAGACAATAGCTTTGCTGTCCTTCCTTCAGGAAGCCCTCCCTAATATCCCCTAGTCTGGATTAGGCACCTGCCCTGGGCTCCCCCAGCCCTGCCCACTCAGGGCCACTGCTGCCCAGTGATGGGTCTATATTCCCCACTGGCCTGGGAGGGCAGGACCTGGGGCCATCTCCGTCACTGCTAGGTGCCCGGCATGGGTCTGGCTCAGAGCAGGATCCCTTAAACCAGACCCATAGGGTACGTGGCCTTCCTATTTCCATGTTTGGGCCAGTCCACATCAGGCAGGTGGCCTGGAGAAAGCTTCCCTCCTTGTCTGCTCCTGTTGGTCGCTTCCATCCTACCCTGCAGCCTCTCCTGGTCTCAGGGCAAAGACGGTCAGGCGTCCGGGTGTGGCCAGGTCCAGCCTCTGGTCTACCCCTGCCTTCCGCTCCCTTGGGAACCATCAGCAGGGGCCCAGTGCTGCAGGTAAACTTGACCCTTCGGAGCGCTGACACGCAGTGGCGGAGAGGGTTGCTCCGCGGCACTTGGAGGAGGAGGTGACACGGCCACGGTGACATTACAGAGCATCTCCATGGAGCCAGCACTTGACCGCCTTACAGACATCACTTCTAAGCTCTGGTCTCAGGGATGCGTGAGGATTCCCGTTTACAAATGAGGAAACTGCGGCTCGGCCGCCAGAGTCTCCTAGCTGGCCAAGGGCACACAGGGTCAGGATTCGAACCCAGGCCTGAATGACCCTCCAGAAAGATGGGCACAGGAGGCAGATCACTGTGGAAAAGGAAACTCAGATGCTCTTATACTTTTGTACATACGCTCAGGCTCTCTCCTCATTGAGACAGATTTGGGTCGTAACTCACTGAGCTGCAGTTCTTCACCTCTCAGAGCTGCAGAGGCAGAGTTGGATGACCCCAAGCCGCTCCCTGAAGACCCAGATGCCACCAGCAGCTGTAGTATTGTGTTTGGAAGGCAGAGCTGTCCAGACACTGGGCCCCAGCTGTGGGCTTCTGGGAGGAGCTGGGGCAGCCAGAGCCCCCTCCCCCACAGCCACCCCGTTTACACTGCCCCACCCCCCACCTTGCCTGAGGAGCCAGCACCACCCCATGAGAAAGCTGGGGGAGCAGGTTGGTGGCGCATCAGAGTCCCCCAGGGAGCTTTCTCCTCCTCTTTGAAATTAATAAATGAAGCCCAGCAACCACACAGAAGGTTAGGTAATGGGTGATGTGGGACGGTGTAGCAGAAAGGCCTGGAAGGAAACACACCCAAGGCCACAGTGGCAGTTACCTCCCTGTGGAGCAGGGACAGGGGCCGTCAGCGGAAAGGAGTCAGGGTGGTTACAGCTCACTGTGAGCTTGGTTGGTCTGTTTCAGGGACAATGTATGGACGTTATCCTGTGTGATCTAAACAAATGGAAAAGACTGAAGGCATTATTGTTAACTTCGGCAGGTGTATTCGTGGCGTAGTTGCTGTGGCATAGGGAAGCTGCTGCAGGGGAACTACAAAGACACCTGGGGTTTGCTTCAAAATGTTCCAGAAAAAAAAAAAGTAAAGGGGATCACATCTTGTGGTGCTAGAAAGTAAGGAAGTGTTTTAGCAAGGGGCGGGGGGCATGTCAGGGGTTCATAGGAGCCATCCCGAAGAGCTCCCAGTGGCTGAAGTTGGAGCAGTTGAACAGCAAAATAAATAACAGCAGCATTGGATTCTAACCCAAAGAATAGAACAAATGTCCATGAGTCCATACTCCTATCAGTAGGTAAGTGAATAAACAGACGGTGGCTAGGACAGCTCTTACTTATAAAAGGATCCCAGTTAATCTAGAAGGAATGAGGGAAATGGAAAGTCATCATTAAAATAGCACAGATGTGATTGATGATTGCTAAAATTAGTGGGGAGACTTTAAGCAGAAGCAGGGTGTTTCCATAGCCTCGAAGTATCTACCCCAAAATACTTATGAATGATTGCGCAGTCCCCAAGTGCTTTCATACTGTCCCTCCTGGAGGTGGGGCTTCATTCCCCTCGCTGTTGGGAGTGGGCTGGACTCAGGGTCTCACTCCTAACAAAGTGACTGTTAGAAGGGAACAATAGTAACTTCACAATGGAGAAAGCCATGGACGGCACCTTAACCCAAGGGAGCAAGGTCACCACTGCTGGTTAACAAGACAACATCAACATCTGGGCCACCTGGGTGCCTCGGTCAGTTAAGCGTCTGCCTTCGGCCCAGGTCATGATCCCAGGGTCCTGGGATCCAGCCCCTGGCCGGGCTCCACACTCAGTGGGAAGCCTGCTTCTCCCTCTCCTTCTGCCCCTCCCTCCACTCATGCTCTTTTTTTCTCACTCTCTCAGTCTCTCTCAAATAAATTTTAAAAATCTTCAAAAAAAAATAAAATAACTTAAAAAAATGTCAGAACAGGAGTCGGGGGCCTGCCTCTGCCAGGTGTCCAGCTTGTACCACCAGCTCCTGGTGGTACCTCTGCCCGAGGGGCATGCAGGAAGACCCGGCTCCTGGTTTTCTGTGCCCGCGTATTCCGTTGTCCGGCTGTCCCCGGGCTCACTGAACCAGGCGCTCGCCGAGGGCTTACAGAACACCTCCGAGTCCCCGCTTAAAAATGCGGGTACTCGGGCCCCATCCCCAGGGCGAGTCTAGGGCGAGACCCCAGAATCGGAGCTTTAACAGCCATGGGATTTCTTTTCTCTCTTCAATATGCATGGTATTCTCTCTCTTGCTTCTCTTTTCGCTTTTGAAATTTCAGACATTCTCAAAACCACGAATCCCCAGGAACTCCTCACCCAGCTTCAACCCTATCCACTTGGGGCCATTTTTTTCATACCATTTACTCGTTGGTGAAACCAGGTCATTTATGCCGAATTTGGGTGATTACTCTCTCACGCTGACATTTAACTTGTTTCTATCCCTTGAATTTTGTCTAAACCAGCCATTGGGTCTAGAAGCTTGCTCAGAATCAGGATGGGATTTTTTGTGTGTGTGTCACTTGATTTGGTTTTGGGGTAGATACCCATCCTAAATGCCTGTGTGATCGAGCACAAGTGAGAATGTTGGGGTGGTTTGGCTGGGAGGAGGTGGTTAGGCAGGGGGCAGTGGGGGGATGCACGGGGGTGGAGGAACGGGGAGCTCTGCTGACCCCTCCTCCCCTCTCCCCCCCCTCCCCAAGCAGTGCAAAGAGCCGTCTCGCTTTTCTCTCTCAACGACCCAGCTCTGAGCCCGGAGGTCCCACCTGCACACAGTCCTGTCCACAGCCACCTGAGCCTGGAGAGGGGGCCCCCCACCCCCAGGACCACCCCTACCATGAGGTGAGGTTTCCCTGGAAACACCTGGAAGCCGGCAACCTGGGTCCCTACAACGCAGACTCCCGCCCGGTGAAAGGGGGGCCACAGACTGGGGGGGACACACCGGGACCCAGTGGTGACCGAGTCCAGGTTAGCCCCATCCCCATGGATGGAGACAACGCTGTAATCAATACAGTCAGTTCACTTCTAAGTCGTGAAGCTGTAAGGAGTGCCCCCCACTGCACACTGCACCGTGGTCCCTTCCTCCCTCTTTCATCTCCCCCCGTCTGCTCTTGGGTCCCCTCTGCACATGCCTGAATTATGCAGACAGTCACCTCTCCCCTGGCAGCCCAAGCTGGGCTGTCTGTGGACCCAGGAGCTGGGCTGTCCGTGGACCCAGGAGCTGGGACCCAGCGGGGACAGAGGAGGACAGGGAGACAGACCTCTCGCATCTGTCCTCTTCTGTTTAGTGCAACATATCTGACTGCACTCGCTTGGCTTACGTGTACGTCAGTGGCGCGCTGTACTTTATGGGCAAATGAAGGGATTTTCGAGAGAAATTTTGACTCTTCTGGGTTTTCCTGACTCTTCTTTTTTTTTGACTCTTCTTCACACCCCTCTTTCACTGGCTTTAGAACTCAACCTCCACCAAAGATGTGGCCCGACTGTAATCACAGGAACGAGGCGGCTGCAGATGGTGCCGCTGCGGCGAGGGGGGCAGCGAGGGAGGAATGGGCTGGGTGTGGGAATGGCAGGACTGTGGCCTCGGGGCAAGCTCCCCGCATTCCCTTCACCCCTGCGCTGGTGACCCTCTCCCACCTGCCTCCCACCTCCCACCTCCCCTGCAGCTGCGGGTCCCCAGGATCCAGGACCAGGGAGGGGGAAGAAAGGGGCGGGAAGGCAGGAGTCCTCTCCCCTCTCTCCCCCTTCTGGTCTGCTGCAGCCCACCCCCCTCCCTGGCACCCCCACTGTGCCCCATGGAGCCTGCTGGAGGGAAGGGGCTGCCCACTGTCCTCTGCAGGGGCGCAGCAGGCCAGGGCTGGGGGACTGCACAGAGGAGGAGTCACAGGCTGGGCTCCCTGCTCTGTCCACCGGTAAGGACGTGGTGACCTCCCAGACCACTTTGGGCCAGGAGCTGTGTTACACTGAGACTGTGCCCAACGCAGGGTAGGCTCTCCGGAAGGGCGATGCTGTCATCATCTTTGTCAGCGTCCTTTATTATCGTCCCCAAGGGCAGGCCCTCCTGTTCCGTTGTCCATTGCAGATGCAGGGCCCAGGTCTGCTGGGTGCTCAGTGGATGTCTGCGGGGCAGGCTTGTATTGTGCTCTGTGAGGTGCTCACACCCGGGAGAAATTTCTTGCTGAAGTACACGCATGGTCTGTGCCTGGGGGGAGGGCACACTTCGGGGCAGGCACGCACACAGCCTTCGACAGGCGGCCACAAGCCCCGCCCACATCCACAGATGGACCCTCTCTGGGTGGAGCACAGCAGGGAGGAGGGCTGGCTTCAGGCTTCCCCCAGAGCCCCTCCTCCAGACCCCCTCAGGACCCCAGCAAGAACAGGGCTCCCCAGAACTTGAGGGGCCAGAGGGTCCTGGCCCCCCTGTTCCTCCCCAGCTGTGGGTCTGGAACCCTCCCCCCAGGCCTGGGGGGCCTTGAGTCTCACCCTGTCCCTTGTCCTTCCAGCGAGGAGCCTCCCCTGGACCTGACAGGCAAGGTGTACCAGCTGGAGGTGATGCTGAAACAGCTGCACACCGACCTCCAGAAGGTAAGGCCGCCGGGCAGCCAGGCCTCCGCTGTGCGCCTCCCTGTTCCGCTTCCCAGACGCGCGCGAGGCTGACGCACCTGTCCCCACCCCACCCATTCTAGGGGAGACTGCCCAGCTTTGAATGTAGTCATGAGCAAAGAGTAGAAAGCGACAATACCAAAGTCTGGTAATAAGCACATGGAGAGAACTCTCCTAAATTGTTGGAGGAAGAACAAATTGGCCCAACCTTTTCGGAGGGCAGTTGGATAATACTTATTAAAAAAAAAACATGTGGCTGGGTATCTTGTCAATCCCGCAATTCTGCTTGTGGGAATTTGCCCAGCACAATTGCAAGCATGGGGCCAGAGATCCATGAGCAGGGATGTTCACTGATGCTCTGTTGGCAATAAAAACTTGGCGCCAGTGCAGCTGGCCCCCCCCCACACAGGAGAGTGGTTATATAAAGGACAGGACACCCGTGCCGTGGAATATTCTGCAGCCAATTAAAACACTAGCAGGAATCTGCATATTTACTGACATGCAAAAGAAGTCTAGTCACTCAAGTAGAAACTAAACAAGCTGCAGACTACTGCCTAGAACATTATCATACTTGAAAAAAAAGTTTAACGTCCGTGGGTCAGAGTGTTATCTAGAAGGCAGCATTCCAAATTGTTCGTTGTACTTACCTCCAGGTTGTAGAAGGAGGAGGAGAGAAGGGCAGAGGACTTCTGTTTGGTACTTTATATACTTCGGGGTAAAAGAAAGGTGGCAGAATATACCGTGCGAGTCTCAAGCGCAGGAATCCTAGGGGCCCAGGTTCCAACCCCCCCGTGTGGTGCTGTGTGACCTTGGACAAGTCAGCTGCCATGGGATGTCACAGAGCCTGGAAGGGCACCTCAGAAGGGCCAGCGAAGCCCATACAGGCAGCCCGCGTCCATCCGCATCCCAGCTCCCCGCCTGCTCTGCTAGGCTGGGTTTCCTCTCCCTCCTGGGAACCTGAGGCTAACAGCAGTCCCGAAGTCCGCGGGTGGCCGTGAGGGTAAACTGAGGTGATAATGATTACAGTGAGGTCTGTGTTCTAAGAGTTGAGGGGGACGGGTCCAGAGAGATGAGGCCATTTGCCCAGGGTCGCTCAGCTGCCGAGCAGCCGAGCTGGGATTCGAACCGTGGCCGCCTGGCTCCGCACACCTGCTGATGCCGGCCCCGCCCCACAGGAGAAGCAGGACAAGGCCGTGCTGCAGTCCGAGGTGGCCAGCCTGCGACAGAACAACCAGCGCTTGCAGGAGGAGTCGCAGGCCGCCAGCGAGCAGCTGCGCAAGTTCGCCGAGATCTTCTGCAGGGAGAAGAAGGAGCTCTGACGTGGCCCCCTGGCCGGGCCGGCTGTGGGCTCCCGCCCTCCCATCTCCCTCAGCTCGCTGCCCGGTTGCGGGTGTGACCGAGATGACGCAGCCAGGGCCCCACTGCCCTCCTCGTGGACACGGAGACCCTGGACGGCCGCAGGCCTCACCGCTCCTCCGGCCCCGCAAGGTGACCCGGTCTCAGGCCGCCCCTCTGAACTGCCAAGCTCTGGCCCCTGGACACTGGACCGTGCCCACCCCGGCCCCCCGGGGATGGCCCCTCTAGCCTCTTCCTAGGACCAAGCCATCAGAAGCCATAGGAAGAGGAGAAGGGAGGACCAGAGTGCGTCTCCAAACCCCACAGCTCCGGGAGTTCACAAACCAGGTTTCTTCACGGCGTACAACAGAGTTTGGGCTTGTGGGGCCAAGCCCCCTGCATGAGAAATGAGTGTGAGACTGGCCCGAGCTTCCCCCAGGCCCCAGAGAGCGGAGGTCCTGTGCGGACACCGGCCGGGGCTCCAGAAAGCACGGACGTGACCCCCTTCCAACCGTATTCTTCCAAAAAGCCACCAGGAGCACTTTCTTAGAGTTTCAGTTCTTTTCTTGGGACCCCAGGATGGAGAGAGGAAGCCCCAGCATCCAGAGTCAGCTTCTCTGAGGGGAAACTCTATTTGCACACTCGGGACCGTTTCTGCAGTCTTTTCTGTCAGCCCCTCGACCGACCGCCAGAGGCCTACAGCGCCTGGGCCGCTCCACCACCTTCCATCTCCCGCACAGGCCTGGGCCGTAAGGGCCCATCTCTCCTCCCCAGCCCCGCCAGTAACAACCACACGGCCAGGGCCTCTTCCAGGCACCAGGAGGGGCTCCACGCAGCCCTCGGGTCAGGGCTGGAGAGAAAACAGCCTTCGGCTCCTCTCTGGTTTTGTTCTTCCTTCACAAGCGGACGTCCGGACACCCTCACTGTGCTCCCCGGGGAGGCAGGAGGGCTTTGCCGTGTGAACCCCCACGGGACGCTGGTTCTCTCAAGGCAATAAGGGGCAGCTTGCCAGTCGGCCAGGCCAGAGCGGTACTACGCTGTTCACCCAGGAAACAGAGTTTCTTTTTTTTTCCTTTAAAAACAAAAAAGAGATATATATATATATTTATTTTTTCATGTAGAGTTGCGCCAGAACAAGTCTGTATGGCCACAATCTGTGGATTCCCCCCAACCTCAAGCTGAGGATCGAGGGGTGTCCCCCACGGGCTGGGACTCAGTGGGAGAACTCCCGAGGGATGCAGTCAGGGGGAGCAGGCCACTGGACTTCCCCGTTTGGGGAGGCCCCAGGCAGGGGGAGTTGGCCCCGCTGCAGGCAGCGCTCTCTGGGCTGGAAGCCAGCACCAGGTGGCCCAGCCCTGGTGCAGAGACCCCACCGCTTTCTCTTTGGGGCCAGAAACCTCAGGGAAGGGGGCTGTGGGGACCGCAAGGGACACAGGCACTCGGAGAGGTGCCAGGCTGGGCCAGCAGGGGCAAGAGGAAAGGGCACTCTTGTCTCCCTGCGATCCACCTCTGACCCCAGGAGCGCGGCAGTCGGGCAGAAGCCCTCAGACCTGCCGTCTCTGCCCCTCACCCTCACCCTCACCCGCGGAGTGAGAGGGCCTCAAGGTGGGGCCCACTTGGTCCTCAGCCCTGGCCAACTACTGTGATATCTCTGCCCCCTTTCCCACCCCCTTTTTGGAAGGGCTGTCCAGAACCCGCCCCACTGCCCTTTCCTCAGACCCTAACCTGGAGGCTGCCCCCTCCCCCGCTCTTTTTTTAAGTTCTCCTCAGATCTTCGGATCATTCGAATCATTTTGGGGACCTAATCATGTACATTGACAAGTGTAAATTATGGGGGTTTTTTTTTGGTTTTGTTTTCTGTTATTTTTTTTTAAGGATCTCTGCAAAAGAAATCTATTTAATTTGAGGTTGGTGTTTTATCTGAAGGCTTGAAGATAGCAGGGGTTTTTTTTTCCGTATGTTGATCTGTTTCATTTGGATTTTTTATTCTTTATTGTCTTTTTTTTTTTTTTCCCTATCCCGGTCTTGAGATTTTTCTGGCATGTTTCTGGAGGTTTCAAAGGAAATAAATGTTTCATAGAAATGGCTTGTGTGTTCACTAGCTGGGCAGCTGCCTGGAGTCACTGATGAGAGGGTGTGGTCCAGCGTCAGCCCCCTCCTCCTGTCCCCCTTGTCCCAAACGCAAACTCACACACACACACTCTTTCCTCAGCACCAGCCTCGCAAACTTCCTTTCCTTGAAACCCAAATGACAGGAACCCAGCACTCAGAAGGTAAAAAGTCCTTAAGTTGAACAGAGGGAGAGATTGCACCGAAGAAACCATTTGTAGCGGCCAGAAAGCCAGACCAGGCCCACGGAGTGTGCCGGTTTTAGATTTAATGGTCAAACTTTTAAAAATCTGGAGGTAGTACAGACAGCCGGATTTCCAGCTTGGTAAATCCGTCCTCGGCAGCGGGACTCCGAGCCAAGGGGCCCCCTGCCTCCTTCCCCTGAGGCCTCCCCAGGCCACACCCTCCCGGCGCTGGCTAATTTGCATGGCCCCGCCCTCATCGGTGGGCGGAAGCCTCCCACCGCCCGCCGTCCGGTTCGTGGTTTCGGGTGCAAATCAGCCCCTGCTTCCAGGCCAGGGGGGGAACACAGTGAGGCGGGGTGCCCCATAACCTCGCCCCTCGGCCAGGCCTCCCTCTAGGGCTTCTCGTGGCCCGGCTCCGCAGCTGCCCTGATGAAACACTCGCAGTTTGACCTGGGGATCAGGGTCCCACTGATTTTCTGAATCTCAGAATTCCATGTGAAAATCCAAGGTCTGGCCTCTTGTGTGAGAAGCAGCCCAACCTCGTGACAGGGCTGGCCAGGTGGCTAAGTCTTCCTGACCCACCTCACCCCCTTACCTGTCATTGGGTCTTCCATCTCTGAGCTAAAACCTGATGCTTCTCTGACTCAGCCTCTCCCCTCCCCACCCCCCCGAAAAAATATCTTTTTCCAAAACGGGCATATAGCCTTTTTCCAGAGGAGGTGGACCAGCTATTTCCACATCTCCTAAAAATTCTAGAGTGTTCCAGACACTCTCCCAGTCTCCGCCCTCCTTGAGGCCCCATCCTCTCCCCGTGCTGCCCTTCCCCCACCAGCACGGGAACGGTGGAACAAGCTGTTCTCACATCCTCTCCTGGCGCCTGTGACACACACCAACGTCCAACGCCCCGCAACTCGCACCCACACTGGTGCCCTGCTGGTCCCGTCCCCGTCTTGCCCCAGTTTTTGCCTTCCGCGGCCACGTCCCGATCTCTCCAGCGGGCGCCCTCTTGGACCCTCCGCCAGTCTCGCCCTCCCGCCCATCACCCCTGGCTCGGTCCCCAGCCAACCTCTGAAGCCCTTCATACCTTTGGCTCTCTCCACATTTCTCTATTGTCCCCTAAATTCTTTGTCCTCTCCCCTGAAGTCTCATCTCTGTGTCATTGTCCTGGGACTCTACCTGTCCGCGGATCCTGTCTCTCTCTCTCCCTAAATGTGCTTCCCTCTTATTCTTCTGTCTCTCCTAATTTATGTGCCGGGGTTCTCTGCCTCCCCTCATCGAATCTCTCCTGCTTCTCCAGATCACTCTCGACTTCCTCCTTCTGTCTCTCCCTGGTGTGTCTGCTATTTTTTCTTACTATTATTTCCTCTCCCACTGAATCTCCATCTCTCTTCTGTTCTCTCCCCCCACCCCCACCCCCGTCACTCCTGTGGCTCGCTCTTCTACCTCTCTCACCAGATCTATTTCTTCCCTCTCCTGCTCTTGTTCCGATTCTCTATAAATGTGTGGCTGTGTGTCTGCCTCCTGATCTCTCGGTGTCCTGGTTCCTCATCCCACCTCACCCAAATCTGCTTCCCTCCCAACATCCCTGGAATGGAGGACCCCAGGGGAGGTCGGAGGTGGGGGGGAGGATTGGGAGGAGGTGCTCCTGGCACCCCCGCCCCCTACCCTAGCCCGGGAGGGCGGCCTCCTCATCTTTCCATCCCTTCCCCCCCCAGGCCCCAGCTCCCGCCTCCCCCCTCACTGCTGCTCGCTGCAGCTGCAGCAGTCCGTTGCCAGGGCAACCACAGCTGGCTGGGCGGGAGCCCCCTCCACCCCATCCCCCCCTCTCCTTTCCGGCGAGGCTGGGAGGAGCTGGGACAAAGCCAGAGAAAGGCGGGGGGGGGGGGGGGCCCGCTCCAGCTGTTAACCTCGGTCAGTTCTCCCTCAACAAGGCCCCCATCTCCCCTTCATGGCGATGCCCCCCCAGTCCAGCCTGGAGAACGAGGCAGTCGTGGGCAGAGGGGTCAGGCCCAGTTTAATACACAGAACAAGTTAATTCACAGCAGAGGCAGGCAATAAAGGAGACTCGTTTACAAGGGGGGGGCATGCCCGGATCGGGGGAGACCCCCCAAGCCCACCACCTCCCCCACTTGCAGTCTCAATTTCCCTTTTTTTTTAAACCCGAACAACAAACACACACAACCACAAGAAACAACCACGCCCCCTCGCCGCCCCCAAAATGGCCAGCGAGTGGGGCAGGGGGGCAGCCCGGCCTGGCCGCTGGGGAACTGGAGCAGGGGAAGGAGGAAAAACTAGTCCGTTGCAGAGTCTGTGCTTCTCATTCCAGCAGGCGCTGGGCAGGGGCCCGCCTGCCCCCCGCCCCAGCCGACGCCCACCAGCCACGGCGGGGCCCCAGCCACGGCAGGCTCAGAGCGGGCAGGGCGGGGCTCTCAGGGAGGGAGCAGGAACGGAGTTCAAAACCATGGTTCACGTCATGCAGTATCCACGGTGGGCACCAGGAGGGGGGCGAGGGTGGACACCACACCCACCTGCCCTGGGCACACGGGGGGAACGGTGCCCACTTGGGGTGAGGAGGTGGGACAGCTGCAACTCCAGAAACGGGGGGGGGGGCTGCTAGGCAGGAAGCTGGCATAGACTGGTGCCCAGTGGATGCGCTCAGCAGGGCCCCCACCACCCAGCCAGGCCTTAGAGGACTCTTTGTATATATTAATCTTTTTTCTTTTCTTTTTTTTTTTTTTTAACTTTTTGACTCTTTCTTTAGAAAAACGCTGTGTCCGTGCCCCGGGCTGGCATCTACCGCCCCTCATGCCCGCCCAGAGGCGGGGTATGGCTTTGAGGGGAGCAGAAGCCCCTGGTGCCCATTTGCCAAGGGATGGGGAAGGAGGGAGGAAGGGAGAGGGGCCCTGCTGGGCCCACCAACCCACAGGGCAAACATTCCACTTGCACAGAGGGAAGGGGGTGGCCCAGCCCCCTCTCAGGCTCCCCCTCTCCCCCTCCCGCTGTGGGGCACTGAGGGCGGGAGAGCGTGGAGGAGCTCCGAGAGGCAGATCGGGAAGCACCACCCCAGAGGTCCAGGTGAGCCAGAGCCAGGCCTAGGTGAGGGTGATGTAGGCAGAGGCCTTCTCTTTCAGGTGCCGAAGACAGAGGTGACAACTCCAGCTCCCTGGGGGGGCGGGGGAGGACAGGGAGTTAGGCCCAGGTCCCAGAAGGGCTGGCCCAACTCCCTCCCAACCAGCAGACACAGTCCTGGGTCTTCACCGGCAGGAAGACAACTTTTCAACCCCGCCCCCCGCCCCCCGTGTGGTGCCCACCTCTTCTCTCACCTTCCGGGGGCTCCGCCATGGGGGGGCTCAGGCAGTACATGTGGTAACCCCGATCGCAGTCGTCACAAAACAGCAGCTGGTCCTGGGGGGTGAGACCCGCCCAGCTGGCACCCTGGGGGCACGGGCACCAGAAACCGGGGTGGGGGGGCTGGGGCAGGGGTAGGTCACAGGGGCTGGGGAAGGTGGGCCCTCCCACGAGAAGGGGCCCCGAGCAGGTCTTTGCAGAAGCGGCTTGGCCCGGCAGAACGCCCCTGTGGTCTGCCCGTTTGCAGCTAGCTCCTAGGCCGGGTTTTATGGATTCTGTGGAACACTTAAAAGGACACCCAGATGGTCTGCGACCGGCTCTGGAAGCCATGGATGTGGGTTCGGGTCCTAGCTGGGGGACCTCGGGCAAGTCACTTCCCCGGTCTGAGCTCGGTTTCTTCTCTGTGAGGCGGGGACAAGAGCACCTACCTCCGAGGGCGGTTGGGAGGAGTCAGAGAGCTGGAGAGCACTAAGTGCTAAGTGCCGGGCTCAGTTAATGGACACTAACAATAACAATAATACAGGTTACGAGTGCTCCCCAGGGAGGGGCTCCGGGGAGCGGCTTTAGGCCCCGCGGGCGTGGGCGGGCGGAGGGGCGGGGCGGGGCGGGGCCCGCCAGGGGGTGTGTCCCGGGGGCGGCGCGCACTCACGTCGTTCTCCGAGGTGCCGCACAGGCTGCACGACTTGCACTCGATGCACTGCCAGCGGTAGGTCCGCACGGCCGCCGTCATGTTCACCGTAAACTGTAAACATGAGGGGTGTCCTGGGGGCCGAGGGGCAGGGGTGCGGTTAGGGGTCATCATGCCCCTGGGGGCCGCTGAGCCCCGGGGAGGAGATGGCTCGGCACCCCCCGCCCCCCCACCCCTGACTGCGACCCCGCCCCGCTCGCGGTGCCCCCGCGACCACACGCTTCCGTGGCCACCAGGCTCCTACCCAGCCACCATGGTAACCACATTCTGCTCCCCGGAATACCATGGCAACCGCATTCCATTACCCACAGTGCTGTGGCAACCACCTTCTACCACCCACAACACCCGGGCAGCCACATTCTGTTAACCACTGGCTGAGGCAGCCACATTCCATTACCCACAGCAGAATGGCCAACAGGTTCTGTTAACCACAGTAACGTGGCAACCACAGTCTCCCAGCCACGGCGCCATGGCAACGGCCTGCCACACTGGGGTCCCCACACTCTGGGTTCCCTGCAGCCCAAGCCCATTGCCCAGGAGACCCCAGCAACCAAGGTCCTTCTGACACTACCGTGCGATGCCAACCCCCTGGCCGTCCCACTGTCCCGGCGCAGAGATGCCCTCAGCCACTACCCCAGGGCCACAACAGCTACAGGCCACGAGACCCAGTCGCCCTGACAACCGTATCGCACTCCCGTAATACCATGACAACCGCAAGTCATTACCCACTGTGCTGAGGCAACCACAGTCTATTAGCTACAAGCCCACCTGGGAAGCCACGTTCTGTGAACCACAAGTCCATGGCAAGCGCCGTCGGTTATCCACGGTACCCAGACGGTGGCCATCCATCCATTACTCACTATCACACTCCACTACCCACAATGCCTCGGAGGCCTGCTTTCACGACCCCTCGTGCCATGACGAGCACGGGCCACGAGCAGCAATGCCATGACAACCACTTCCTGTTATTCCCAGAGCCTCTCTGGCCCCCCTCAGTGTCCCACAGTCCTCCGCAGTGGAGTCCACGCCACCAGCTCGGGGTTGTCACCCCCTCCCCGCCCCACCCCCACCCCTGGCTGCCCCGGCCGCACTTCTCTGCCTCCCACCCTCCAGATCTGGACTCCTGGGGTGCCCTCCACCCCGGCCCCCAGCAACCTCGGGTGGGGGTATCACCTGATCGCCCACAGTCAGCACAGGAGATGAGGTCCTCAGGACACCCCGTCTTCTTGGAGCCACCCAGGCAGAAGTCACAGTAACCGTTGGGGATGACAGTGCCGTCGGGCGCCTTCTTGGCTGAAAGACAGCAAACGGCGGTTGGTGCAGGCAGGCCGGGGCACCTAGTCAAAGGCTGCTGTGGAAGTCAGGGCAGAGGGAGGCGTCCCTACCTGTGTGTTTCCTCTGTGCCTCAGGGACCCAGGCCAATTCTTTGTAAAACTCTGGGGTTGGGGGGACAGAGAGAGGGGCTCTCACCATAGGCAACGCTCCACCCTGCCCCCAGCCTCAGCCCCAGGGGTGGACCCCTTTTCCCAGGCAGGAGGGGGCGGGTAGGGAGAGAGAGTAGCTACCCCCGAGCTGTGGCCAGGAGCAGAATAGTCGGGGACCCAGATAATTCTCCTCAGGAACCCCGAACTCTCTGAGGACAACTCACACATCCTCTTTTTCTTAGGTAAAACTGCAAAGAACAGCTTTCGGACGAGCCCCCTGCTTCCCCATTCACACGCACTTCTACCAGACAAACCAGCGCCACCTGAGCCCCAACTAGATGAAAACTGGGGACACCACTGGCCAAGATCTGGCATGGAGACAGACGGACATTCAGAAGAAAACTCCTGAACACAGAGGTGCCTGGAGGTGGAGTGGGGACGGGATGAAGAGACTGCCCTCTCCCACCAGGAGACGGGTGGGAAGACAGTTTCCCCCCTGGCAGAGCCGCCCCCCGAGCCCTCCCCCACCCCTCAGCTGTCAGGGCTGGCATGGGATTGGCACGGGCAGGCGCCGAGGGCCCCCAGGCCACAGACCCTGCCCCTCAGCCAAAGCCTCAGCGAGAAGGGAGAAAGGGAGGCAGGGAGGGAGGGGAGTCATCTATCACCCCCCCTCCCCAAGCTCTAATTGAAACAATAAATCAGACCCAGAAATATTATGCCCGGGCCGGGAGCGAGGGAGAGATGGTTGGTTGCCATGGCAACCCCAGAGTCAGCATCCCCATGGTCGGTGGGGGGAGGGGACCGCTGAGCTGGAGATTTTCCAGAAATGTCTAATGTGCCCCCTCCCTCCCAGGCTCCTCAGCCCCCACTCCCAGGGTCCCTCACTACCCCACGGCCCGCCTGCCTGCTCACGTTTGTGGTTGTTTTTCCGGTGGAAGGGCAGGGCGTGGCGCTCGGCGTTCTCCTCCCCCTCCTCCTCAGCCAGGTGGGTGTGGGTGTAGTGGTAGCTGAGCCCTGGCCGGTTCTTATACCGTTTCCCACAGACTGGAGAGCGAGCAGGGAGGGCTGGTCAGCCCTCCCAGCCCAGGTGGCCTCCACCCTGGTCTCGGGGATCACGCCTCCCGCCCTCTGCCAGAGGCCTGAGCATCCCCTCCCACCGGGCTCTAGAACGGGAGGGAGGGGGCCGGCAGGGGAGAGGTCTCTAGGCCCCACTCTCTCTCTTTCCCCCTCTTCAGAAGGACTCACTATCACAGACATACGGCTTGTCTCGGTCCTCCAGGGAAGCGGTGTCCTGGCGTTTCCGGAGACCCCCGATGCCATATGCCTGGGGGGAAGAGTCAGGATCAGGGGCCAAGAAAGGGAGGGAACTGAAAGGGCTTTCATCATCTGAGCCCGAAAGGTGAACCGCAGCTCTGCCACTTCCTAACTATGGGCCCCGACCTCTCTGACGTTCGGTTTCCTCATCTGTAGTGTGAGCATAAAGATGGCTGTAACCCACTGTACTGTCTCTGCTTTGCAAAGGGCTTAATCATATCTGAGCCTCGGTTTGCTCCTCTGTAAAAATGGGTCTAGCCCCCTCCCCCCTTCAGGCTGCTCTGGGGATTAAATGAGGTCAGACTGGGGCAGGGCCTGACCATTGTGCATGCTCAGTACATGGGGCCTGTCATTGAAGAGAGGGATGGGCGCCTGGGTGGCTCAGTTGGTTGGGCGACTGCCTTCGGCTCAGGTCGTGATCCCGGAGTCCCGGGATCGAGTCCCGCATCGGGCTCCCTGCTCGGCAGGGAGTCTGCTTCTCCCTCTGACCCTCCTCTCTCTCATATGCTCTCTCTCTCTCATTCTTGCTCTCTCAAATAAATAAAGAAAATCTTAAAAAAAAAAAAATGAAGAGAGGGATGATGGAGAAGAACTGGGCGGCAATACCTTTCCTTTAGCCCTGTTCTTCCTCCTGGGAATGTCATCCTCCAAGTCTTCCACCTCGAGATCATGTGGAAACTCCAGCAGCTGCTGTTTCTGGGCACCAGGAGAAGGGAGATTGAGGTCAAGAAAATGGGGGATGCTGTCCTGCTTTGTGGGAGTTCTGGACACAGCTGGAGACTGGGGGGAGCAGGGCACGTCAGGAGGTCTTCCAAAAAGAGAAGAGGTGTGAAAGGATGGAGACTTAGGATGCCCAAAGGCCCTAGGGAGCCGGGGGAGATTGCAGAGCAGGACCAGGATGAGCCAGGGCAGGTGGCCGGGGTGAGAAGGCAGCTGGGGCCCCTGAGGGGTGGTCCCACCTGGCAGTCCATAATGGTCTCCTCCTCTTTCAACTCAATCTTCTTCTCCCCGGTCTCAGCACACAGTAGCGCCTCAAGGACTGGCCCTTCCGGGAGGCCACCCTCCTTCTTCAGGGGTGCCTCACAGTCTGGGGACAAGGCCATGGTGGGGTCAAGTGGGGAAGATGTCCCTGGAGGATTCCTCAAAAGCCCAGGTCGGGGGTGCTTCAGGAAAGAGGCTTTCCCACACTCGACCAGCGACAAGACTCAAAGATGCAATCATACACCGTGGGAAGGATGCTGAGACCCCGGGAAAGGCCCAGCCAGACACTCAGACCCGCTCAGAAGGAGACACGGCCAGACCCTCACTTACACCTGGATGCAAACGGAGAGATACAGATACTCAACCAGGGGGCACATGGGAGATACCGACTGATCATCTTGAGACAGCCAGACACACAAAGGAAGAGATACACCCAGATACATGGAGGAAACACATCCAAACCCTTGGAGACACCCGAAGACCATCAGATAGAGACATTAAACCATCAGCTATCTCTAGATCCACATAAGGAAGACACAGCCAGACCCAACCCTACACCTGGACACCCAGGGGGCAGAGACAGACATACCTAGGGAGAATCACTCAAACGGATACACGCGGACATACACAGGGGAGGAGACACCCAGTCCCTCCCAGGCAGACAGACACACCCAGAAAGACAGCCAGGTGGACACGTCAATACACCTGGACCCACACAGACCCTTGGATGCACCTGGACAGGGGAAGAGAAACAGCCAGTGACTCTGATAGTCCTGATCACATCCAAGAAGTGACGAAGCCTGACACTCTTGCTGGACCAGCACACAGGGGCAGAAACACACCTAATACACTAGCCCCTAGGGGAAGAGATCCTCCCAGACATTCCAAAGCATCTGGCCACTCAAAGGAAGAGACAGCCAGACACCCTGATACACCCAGACACACTCAGAACAGCGGGATACTCTGCGAGACCAGACACACACAAAACTAAATAAACCCTCAAGTACTCTTGGAAACACCTAGAAAAGGACACAGACACTTAGATACACTCCACTGCAGATGGAAAGACACTCTGACACATCCAGACACACGCGGGCACCCACAGGAAGAAATCCAGCCAGACACCACACATCCCAGCTCACCAGGGAAGATCCACCGAGACACACATAACAGATATCACTCTGCCCCCGGATACACCTGGGTCCAAGTAGGAGAAGATACAGTCCAAGTCCAAGCCCAGACACTCAGGGAAAACTGGAGAAGGTCTGGGCTATACCCAGACACACACTTGCAGACACTCGCTAGGAGGGAAATAAAGGCAAATGCTCAGATCCACACTGGCTGGGGGCACTGAGCGGGGGCCACCCCGGACGCAGCTCCACCCACCGATCTTGTACTCGCAGGGCCGGAGTCGGGGGTCCTCCAGGATGTTGAGTCTCCGTTTCTTTCTCCAACAGCGCGCGGGGTACGTGTAGATCTGTCCGGGGGCCAAACCTGGAGTGAGAAGGCCGAAGGGGCCCTGAGAACGCAAGAAGGCAAGAAGGCGGGCCGCAAAGCCGCCGCTCCGCCCCGCCCCCACGCCCCTCCCCCCCCCCTCCAGGGCCGGTTCCGGGGCCGGTACCAGGGCCGCGGTGGGTCTTTTCCATCCAGATGTAGCAGTTGTTCTGGGCCACGCCGGTCTGCGAGTCGAGGAAGGGCAGGCGCAGGCTGCGCTCGGCGCACAGGCGTGCGTTGTAACTGCGGCAGTGCTCAATGGCCTCGCGGTAGAAGTCCTCGCCTAGGCTGCGAGGGGGCGGGTGCGCGGGCGAGCGGCTGTCAGCAAGGGCAGGTGCGCCTGGTCGCCCAGCACCCCGCCCTACGCGCGGCCCTCGGGAATGGGTGGGCCGCCTCCCCCCACCTCACCTCTCCCCCCCTGTCGCTCCTGGACTCAGGAGCCCCCAACCTAGGGCCCAATCAGGCCTGGAGCCAATGAGTAAGATACACACAATATGGAAACAGACAAAAATGCACCAGGACCCATCCGTACATGCACACATCAAAATACACAACACAACCAAACCACACAGGATTCACACACAAAGACAGACATATCCCAAAACTCACAAAGGAGAAACAGACAAATCTCACATATGTGCACACACAAATATCTACTGAAAAAACATTAACATCGCAGTCACCTAGTGTAGAAACAGACACATCACACATATATCCATGCACAAATACACATCACATATCCAAAGACACACAACATAAACAAAGCACCTGCACAAAGACACACAACATGCAAACAGATCACACACACACATCCAAAGACACACAGAGATACACAAATATTATGAGAAGAATGCTAAAACAAACTACCCACACGTGCACTTACATACCCAAAGACACAACACAAACAAATCACACACACACACACACACACACACACACACACAATATCCAGACACACTATACAAAGAAATCACACAGATTCACACAGGACACACTCACACACAATCACAAAGATACACTATAGAAACCAACATCTAAAATACCACATATTCACACAAAGATACACACACAGACAACATAGGAACAGACAAATCCAGCCATATTCACACAAAAATGTACACATAAATCCATGCATACCTACAAATCCAGACACAGAACACAAATGATGTGCAGTTTCAGAGGACATGTACACACATTCAAAGACCCAAATATCAAAAGAAACCTAGTGTAGACTAAAATAAATTAAACACATATCCACACACATATAAAAAAAAAAAAAACCCACAAACAAACAAGTGACACACACTCCACATGCCAAGACAAAGGTAGTGTGGGCTTCCCTCAAGTTTACCAAGGCTCCCACACCCCCAGGCCATTTCACTCTCTCCCCAACCCCGGGGGTCGCGGGGCGGGACATGACCCCCTTCCGCCGAAAAGGACCCGAAGAGGACTCCGAGTTCCCCACACCCTCCGCTCCTCCAGGAGCAGCGCATCAGACACCGTTCTTGCCAGAGACCCACAATCACACACATTCGCAGCACGGCCCACGGTGACAGCCCCCCAGACACCCCTTCGGCCCCACCCCCGGCCGCCACACACACACACACACACACACACACACACACACACACACACGCCCGCGCACACCCGCCCGCGCGCCCTCTCCCGCCTCCCGCAGGCCCGCAGCACCTCAGGGGGCCGGGGATGACCGTGGCCATCTTGCTCCCCGGGTCCTGCCCCCAGCAGGTCCCCGCCGGGTCGGTCCTCCCAGCGCTCGGGCGGGCGCTGAGGCCGCCCATCCATTCATTCCCGCGGGGCGGGAGCACCGGGGCCACAGCCAATCGCGACGGCAGGGCGGGCCCGCCCGGGCCATGCTGGGAGTGGTAGTCCCGGGCCTGGGGGCCGGCGGGACCCCGCGGGGAAGGGGGCGCAGAGGTGCGGCCCAAGGAGCGCGCACGGCCACTCACCCGCGCTCGCTCTTACGCGCATCCAGTGTCCCGGGCATCCACTCACACATGCACACCTGGACTCGCACACACCCACGTACGGCAGTTTACACACACATTCACACGTATACTCACAGCCTCCCACGCAGACTCACGCACACTTCCCTCCCACACCTTCACAGACTCACATACATTTACACTCACACAAACACTTCGATGCCACGAGACTTAGAGCTACCTTAGAGGTGCCCACGCAAACGTCCCCACCGGCATGCCTGCACTTGGCTCACTGACACCTCTCCCTCCCCCATCCCCAGGCCCTCCCAGCTCCGGGGAACCCTATCTGTCCCACCAGCGCAGTCACTCTTACAGTGACCCCGCCCTGCTCCAGCCCGTCCTTCCGCGGGGCAGGCAGCACGGTGCTCCTAAGGAGCTGTAGCCACACCTGGCGGGTTCAGATCCTGGCTCTGCACCTTGGGGGCCATGTGGCCTTGGGCAAATGACTTAACCTTTCTGGGCCTCAGTTTCCTCATCTGTAAAATGAGGGTGACACCTCATTGGATTGTTGTAAGGATTAAATGAGTAAATATGCATAAAGTGTTTTTTCTGTTTTTGTTTTTTTCCATGCCCAGCGTGGAGCCCACCGCCTGCCGGGCTTCCTGAAATCCAGACCTGAGTTGAGATCAAGAATCCGATGCTTAACAGATTGAGCCACCCAGGCACCTCCATAAAGGTAAAAGGCACCTTTTTAAAAAGGTAGTAG